TAAAGAGAGTGCTATAGTATTATAAAAAAAAGCACCCCAATTTTTGGGGTCAAAATTTTTAATGCAGTATGTAGATCCGCTGATATGAAGAGATCATCTTAATATCGAAAAAAAATAAAAAGAAATAAAAAAAAATAAATCTGATACAGTATCTCTCTTTATATAATAACTTTGTGCCACTATATGTAGCACTGTATAGTAGTATAGAATCTATAATAAAGCCTCTTATTATTATATCCTTAAATTGGAGGTTTTTTTAAATTTCAACTATATTATTTTAGATTTATATTTAACTTTCTTTTCAGCAATCTTCATTTTATAAAGATTAAATTTTTTTTTTTATTACAGATTTTTGTAAAATATGATAAAATTACTAGATTTGATTAAAAAAGTAATCTGATGTTTATGTGGTGCTAAGTACCCAACTCTTAATCTTGTTTATCCATATATAGAACTACTTACAAAGAGATTTGCACCAAAGACAGATAAAACAGTAATACCTATTTGAATCTTATTTATAAAAAAGCAGAAAATGATAATAATAAGAGTAATGAAACAAGTAATGATGATATTCCAGCTGCTGATACTTATCAACAATAGCAATATGCATACAGACAATTTTACTAAAAAATGATTGTTCATGATCATGATCACAGACAAAATAGAAAAATGCCAAGACAATTTAATAATGAAGATTTAGAAAATATAGACAAAATAGAGGATCTACCATCAGTTTCTACTACTAGCTTGCTTAATAGAGTTTGAGCTGCTATTTATTTGTTAATGAATGAATTATAGTTAGTTTTATCAGATAATGCTTTAGTTGTCACATTTATTGATTCAAGGTTCAAACATTTTAATTAAACAACAAGTACTAAATAAAACAAAGTATAAAATTTGATAAAAAACTTATATAAGGAGTTAAAAATAAGTTTCACAGTTTTAGATGATATTGAAAAAAGCTTGGCAGATAGAAGTTATAACAATGATGATGATTTCTTTTGAGAGTTAGAAGTAGATTCTGTACAAACAAATATATAAAAAAAGAATAAGATAACATGTTATATAAAGTTTTAAGAAATCAAGGTTAATGATGATTCTCTAGAATGATAGTTAAAAAATAAAAGTAAATTGCCTATTTTGGCTCAATTAGCATACAAGTATCTCTCTATTTTGGCTACTTTTGTACCAAATAAGAGATTATTTTCAGATGCTGATAACCATATTTCAGCAAAATAAACATGTCTATCTTCTGACTTAGTAAATAAGGTTTTATTTTTAAAATACAATAGGATTATTTTAATTGTTTTTACTACAAGAATAATATCTTATATTTTGAATGCTGATCAAGAGTATGAAAATTAGAAAATAATAGAATTTATTAATAATTTTAAGAGATTCTTTTTTTTTAAATTTAAATCTTATAGGTATGCATAGAAGGTTTTGTAGTACTGTTTGATTTTTTTTTTTATTATTATTTTTTTTTTTAAAGTAAAACCAAAGTATTAGTATATACAGTATAATTTTAAGTTAATATATAAGCATATATACTTTGTAAAAGGCTCAGATTATTAGCTTCTTTTATTTTGTTTTTTTCTGTTTATATTATGTTAGACCTTTAATAAATAGACTTTAATCTTATTAATATTTTTAAAAATACTCTTATATATATATTGAATTCTTTATTTGCATTATTGTTTTATTGTAAATACATCTTTACAGTTTTGTTATCATGAAAGCATCTTTATGATCATATAAATTAATCTTTAACTTATATTTATATCTTCTTTAATGACATCATTATTAAAACTATCCTACTTGATTTCATGTTTTTTATTAATATCTCACATATACATTTACTTATTGTAGTTCCTTTTCTATCTTATACAACTTATTTCAGTCTTATATACATTATATATATATAACTAATCTACTTTCTTTCACTATCACTAATCTAAACCTGGCCCTTATTAATGCTCTTTTGAAATTCAATAGTAATACAGGTTTTAATAATTCAGGTTTATCATATGAATTTTGTAATATTTTAGAATTTATTAAAATTTAATTAGATAAATTTCTTAAATATTACAAAATTCATATGATAAATCTAAATTATTGAAATCAGTTCCAACCTCTAGTCCTAATATATTTAAAAAATAAAGCAATAAACAGTATAATTAAAATATTAGTATATATAAATATAGAAAATAATTAAGTAATATGGCTAAGGTACTTAGTTTCTAGTTTTATAATTACATACCAAGACCCTAATACATATAAATGTTGGCCATTTTAGGTTATATCCAATTTATATGAGCTATATATAAATATAACCTATATTTAGCTAATAGGCCATAAGAGTTCAAAGGCCAACATTGCATAATCATGCTTAGACAGGTTTTTCAATAACTCAATTGAAACTTACAATTTAAATCTTGCTAGCAATATTCATATGACAATAAACCCAAACTATTTCTGACCCAGAAGCAGTATTCCTTTTTTTTCAAAAAAATAAAATAAAATAAAATAAATCTATATTATTTCTAAAGATGCACTAAAGCATTGTGTTTTATCAATATATAAATTAGAAATGACTAATACTAAGATATATTTATTATTGTTGTTCTTATAATTTCTAAGACATCTTGTAACAAATTAACTAAATTAATATTTGTTAATTTGATAAGTTTGTGATTTCAATAATAATTGCAGCTGTTCTTATAATTTTTGAAACATTTAGTAAAAAAAATTGACCAAATGATTATGTAGCTGAATTGATAAGCTTTTGATTCAGTAATGATAAACTTTTGATTCAAGGTATGATTATATAGTAACAATATCCTAAACAATACTAGGTGTATATTAGAACATTTGTAAAATAAAATTATCTATTGTTTTTTTTAAAAGTTAAAATTTATATACTATTAAATTTTAATGTAAATATTATCTCTTAATCTGTAAGCTTTTTTAGCCAAATTTGTTTAAAAAATTGTTAAAAATATACTTATAATTTATATTTTTTAAATTTTAAAATATTTAAATAAAATTTTATTTGATAATATTTGAAAATAAGAATTATATTATAGCAGTATTTAATTTTATATTATAAAAAAAAATTACATATTACTTATAAGTTAAAAATAAACAAATTTAGAAAAAATTTTTAATTAAAAAAATTATTTATAAATTTTTAACAAACTCTTTAAATATTAATTTTAAACTTATAATTCTTAATACAATATTTTAGTTTATATAAAAGATGTCAATTTTTATTAGTAACATTTTTGCAATTTACTTATAAAAATTTAAACTTGTATAAAATGTAAAAAATTTTTTAACTTCAGAAATATATAAAATTTTAAAAAATCTTGAAAAATTTTTAATAGTAAAAATTTTTAAATATAATTTTAAAATTTTAATACATAAAAGTTTATTAATATTTTGAAAAAAGGTTTATAATAAAGTTTATAAAATATGTTTTAAGAATATATTTAATAAGTAAAGTATATCTCATATTATTAATAAATTATTATTTTATTTAAGAAATACTAAATACAATTTAATTTTTCAGGCAAATTTGCCTGGAATATAGTTTAAAGAATCATATATATATTTAAAATATATATTCTTTTATTTATATGTCCAAGCCGATGTAAATATTTCAAGTTAGTAATAAACCAATTTTGTATTATAACTAAAGTTGCTAATGAACTAAATCATACTGATAAAACTGAAGACTATTTAAAATCTGATTTGCTATTGCTTTTAATTGCCAATCAGATTTTAGATAATCACTAGTTTCATCTCTAATTGTAACTCATACAAATACTAATCAGTTTTTATTCATTGAAGTTTTAAAATATTTTATATTATCTTCTTTGAAAATATTCAAGAATTTGACTCATGCATGAATCTGCTAATGCTTAGATGTCTGGCAATCAACCGAACTGCTAGCCCTCCAAATATTTTTCAACAATTTTCCAATGAATATGCCTTGAAAATGTCATTTAGCAAAGATAAAAATCATGATTTACATTCTATAGCTTTATATTATTCTTGATCATTTATCAAAGATAGACACATTACGTAAATGATCATTACCTAATTGATTATTACTTAAATCACAACATTATTGAATCGGTCAAATCATCATTTGGTTAATTTTTTGCCTGATGCTTCAAAATTTAAAAACTGTAAAAGTTTTATAATGTATTTTAAATTCTCAATGCATATTAGTTGAAAATTGTTGACAAGTTGAGTATTTCAGATCCAGCTGTGGTACTTCAAACAAACTAAGCATTGTTAAAATATTTATTATAGATAAACAATCCAAAAAGGCTCTTAGTTTTAAATCTATCATTTCAATACTTTCATCTAATTCATGCTAATTTTCTTTTTGATCTGGATTTTATAATATTTATATAGTAAAGCTTTTAAATAAATAATTTAATATATAAATTTTTTGTATTGATTTCGTTGACTATAATTATCAATGTAGTTTTGGTAAATGTTAGAACTATAATTTGTGATTATAGATATATTTTTTTTAACTTTGCCAATAAATTCTTGATAACACCTTTTTTTTTTTATTAATACCTTATTTTACAGTATATTCTGAACCTTTTTATGTTAGTTGGGAAGAACAGTTTTCACTATAATTTTCATACAAACTAAACTCAAAACATATTGGACATACAATCAAAAGAAAACTTGATGTGTTAACATTTTAATACTCTTTAGAATCTAATCGTTACGTATTAAAAAACCTACATCATTTTATATGTGAATCATACCAAAACTCATTCGGTCAATTTTTTATTTGATGCTCCAAATTAGAGGTGCGAACTGAATTCAAATGATATTATTACAGTTTCCTTTTTGAAGTTCAGTTCGTGCCTCTAACTGGTCCAGAATTTAAGAAAACAGCTTAATAATTAACTGATTAATCTCCGGATTAACCCGATTTATATTCGGTTGTGATTTTTAAAAAGTTAATAAAACCGGTTAGTAAAAATAAAACCGGTTCCAACCTCTAAGGCCGAGAGCCATATACAAAAGCCGTCTTCATTATGACATAAAGAAAAAGTATAATAAACTTTTATTTAAATATCTTCATATTTATACTAAAACTAGTCCTACGCGCTGAGTTTAAACTTATGTCCAACGCTGTTCATTGATAACACTGGGTAACGTCACCCGTCCGCCATATTTAATTACTAAATGGTTGCTTTAGTCGAAGCTGGGTGGCGAAGAAGCCATTGTCTAGTTAAATGTATACTAATCAAAATTTTGAGCATGTGAGTTAATATGATAATTAACTTATAACATTACGCATATCAACTTAAGTTCATAGTCAATTATTCTGACATAATGTTTTTACCTTTAAATAGATTAAATAGATATACATTATGCTTCTTTCTAGGCCAAAACATAAAATCAATTGATATCTCATCATCTAATCGATAATAATTGAATCCAATAATATCAATATCTTTCAATTTACAACACATGTTTTGTAAGTCGCTATTGGTTATTATATTTTCCTAAAGTTTTCCTTAGCTAATTCTAATAAATTTTATTATTGTTAGTTTAAAAAAAAATTTATTACTTTAGGTATGCTTTAATTTTAGGGCCAAATATCGGTCATATGGCTTCAATGTAACTTCTGACAAGTAATACCCCTCCACAGAGTATATATTGCACATATGAAAGTACTACATGAAACAGCATTTAATATAGAGTTATTTGCTGAAAGTATTACATTTAACATTTTTACGAAGTTACATATAATTTTCTGCCTTTAAAATGTCAAATACAGAAAAAAATAATTTATCAGAAGAAATTACTCAAGTTACCATTGCTCTTAATCAACTGGATATCGTTGAATGTCAAAAGTCAGCCGATAAGAACGATCCAGATGGTATATTCTGGTTTGGTTATTGTTATGAACATGGAATTAGAATAGAAAAGAATAAGAATAAGGCATTCATTAATACCAAAAATCTGCTGAGATGAGTAATCCTAACGGAATGTATCGAGTTGGTTATTGTTATTATTTAGGAACTGGGATTGAAATCGACAAGCATAAAGCATTTGTACATTATTTAAAATCAGCTGAAGCAGGTAATTCTATGGGAATTTTTAAAACTGCTATCTGCTACAGATACGGAATTGGTGTGAAACAGAGTAAAGTCAAATTCAATGAGTGGATTGAAAAGTAAGTTATTTGGTAATATTCATCAATATATCTGAAGTATTCCTATTTTAAAATTAAAAATTCTTAAACTACTTTTTTTTAGAGAGTAAATATAAATATGAATTATATTAAATGTGAAAATAAATACACATCGGCTGATTTGGATAAGTAAATTCAATCACCCAAGGTTAGGGTGCGTCAATTATATATAATTTCATATGTCTAGAGGAGTTCATCACTGGTGAGATTGGATTTCTTCATCAAAATCAGCCGAGATGATATGGATTATAATTATTTTATTTTTAAATAATATGACTCAAATCATTTTATTCACTTTGGTCTAGTCCGTAAGTATAAAAAGCATTTATTAATCTAAGTATTTAAAAATAACTACAGTCAGACTTCAATATAATTACCAGGTTGGTAATCAAAATTCATTATGACACTAGGAAAACAGATGCTGTTAATGCCGAAGCCTTTAATTTTACGAGATTTTCCATTTTGTCGGGCTGATCCGTGTCGATCTGTTATATTAATTTAAACTCTGATTGGATATATATCACGTGAGCGGAACCCAAGACATTTTGTGTATTTACATCTCCATTGTAAGTCCTCGCTACGCTTCGGACAATAATAATTGGTAAACCGAAAATGGATATTTTGTGATTATATCAAGAGTAACTATATTGAGGTTTGATTGTATTCAAGTTCATGAATATTTGCCTTTAATTTCATTCAACATACCGCAGTTTGTGAGTATAAAGAACATTTATCAATCTAAAGTGCTTAAAATAAGATATTCAAGTTTATGAATATTTTTATCATTTAATTTTACGCAGTGCGCGAGTAAAAAAATATTTATTAATCTAAGTATTTAAAATAAGCTATTCAAGTTCATGAATATTTACTAAATTTTATTTAGTCGGTAAGTATAAAAATGTTTATCTAAGTGTTTAAAATAAGGTATTCAAGCTTATGATATTATATTTAATTTTATTTAATATATTGCAGTTAGTAAGTATAAAGAACATTTATTAGTTTAAATATTTAAGCTATTCAAGTTTATTATTTAATGTTATTTTATTCACGTTAATTTAATGGGTGAGTATAAAGAATATTTATTAATCTATGTATTTAAAATAAGCTATTCAAATTCATGAATATTTACTGTTCAAACCATTTCAGTCGGTGAGTATAAAGAACATTTGTTAATCTAATCATTTAAAATAAGCTATTCAAATTCAATAAATATTTACTATTTAATTTATTTTATTCACATTAATTTAGTGCGTGAGTATAAAAAAAATTATTAATATAAGCTATTCAATTTCATAAATATTTATTATTTAATTTCATTTAATATATTGCAGTTAGTGAGTATAAAGAACATTTATTACTGCGCTTTTCAATTTATTGTAATCAGCAAATTTTATACATCTAACACTGCACGAAATCTACGAAATCTGAGATCAGGATTTTTAGAATGTAAATCTATTATTGGTTAAAAAATATGACAACAGTCTATGAATAATCAATTTTATCATATTAGATTTCGAATCTTGAGCGAAGATACAGCATCTCAATAATGGCCTGGTTAATCTAAATGTTTATGACTGATTTTGAGTCCTATTAATCTGTAGAATTTGAAAATAATTTTGAACATTGAAAATAAACAGAGTATTAGTAAGATTCCTTCATTCAAAATTTATTATAAGACAACTAAAAATTTTATTGTTTAGTCAACCAACTAAAAGATCTAATATAATAATAGATATTATACTGAAAATTAATATTCAACAATGAATCTTCGGAAATATTATTGTGATCGTTGACAATTTGCAAAAATAATATTTCTGTGATGGATGATCATTTAATAATTTGAAAAGCGCAATAATCTATGCATTTAAAATAAGCTATTCAAATTCGTGATTACCTTTTATTTAATTTTCATTTTATTTACGCTAATTTAGTGGGTAAGTATTAATATAAGCATTTAAAATAACTTATTTAAATTAATGAATATTTACCATTCCATTTCAGTTGGTGAGTATAAAGAACCTTTATTAATCCAAGTATTTAAAATAAGCTATTCAAAGTTCATGAACATTTACAATTCATTTAAATTAATTTAGTAAGTGAGTATAAAGAATATTTATTAGTCTAAATATTTAAAATAAGCTATTCAAATTCCTGAATATTTTTATTTACTTTCATTTCATTTGCATTAATTAGTCGGTGAGGATAAAATTCTTTGCATTTAAATTATTTAAAATTTAAATAAAGAGAAATAACTAATATCGATATAAAAATATAAAGAAATTCTGAATATGGAAAATGTGCACATTGTAATGAATATAATACGGCTTTAGTGTGGTGTCTAACATATGGTAGTTCAAGGATGGACTAGTGGAAATAAGGATAATGCTAATTACATGAAAGAGTTTCAACTTAGAACTAATGCTTATGAAGATATGGTTGAGTGGATTCCATTTCATAAACTAGATAATATTAAAAAAATTGGGGAAGGTGCATTTGGTTCTGTATTTTCTGCAACCTGGTTGGATGGTATACGAAGCATCATTACTAGACATGGCATACAAAATATTTTTCGCGACAAATATGTGAGAGTCCGTGAAAATCTAGCACAGTTGCACTTAAGACCTTGTCTGGTTCTGAAGATAATTCTCGGGATTTTTTAAAAGAAGTAAATTAATCATTTTTCTTAGGTTTATTAAACGTATCTTGAACTGATTATATACCACTTATACAGTTTGACAATCATATGAAATGTACATTCACGGGCAGTAAGCTTCAAATATATGGATTGACACGAAATACAGAAACAAATGAATACTTGATGGTATTTAAATACGCCGATAACGGAAGCCTTTACAAGTTTTTAAGAAAAAATTTTCGTGATCTTACCTGGAAAACTAAATTAAAGCTACTTCAAGATATTGCAATGGAATTATGGAATGTTCATTTAGCAGGATATATTCATGCAGACTTTCACAGTGGAAATATTTTGCAGGATAAAGGCGTCAGTGAAAATATGCGATCTTACATCTCAGATCTAGGATTGTCCAAAAATTATACCGAAAACGATTCAGAAGATGGTATTTACGATGTTATGCCTTATGTTGCTCCTGAGGTTTTATTAGGTCAGAAGTTTACAAAAGCCGCTGATATTTATGGCTTCGGAGTCATCATGTCAGAAATGTCAACTGGACAAAGACCCTTTGATGGTTATGAATTTAATCTTGGTCTTGCAATAAAAATTTGTAAAGGATTGCGTCCAGTGTTTGCGCCTGGAACACCGAATTGCTATATTGAATTTTCTAAACAATGCATGGATGCTAATCCACAAGAACGACCTGCTAGTGATGTTTTTTTGAAATTTAACAAATGGAATAAAATTATGGAAAGTTTATTTAATGCAAATAAAATTAAAAAGCAATTTTTAGAAGCTGATAAAATAACAAAAGAATTACCAATTGTTCCACCAAAACATTCCGATTTATGTACTAGCAAAATTATTCACACACGAAAAATATCAGATGCAAGTAAAGGTAATTTTGTAAAATTATACTATTTTACTTATTTGATTAAAGCTAATTATGTTATATTAGCAGCTTTAACAATTCAACCTATTGTTTCTGTTGAAGTTTCTATTATTAAATTTACTATATATATATATATATATATATTTTTAAGTGAGATTTTTCTTCTATCCTTTATTTTAGTAATATATAATTAAGTACAACTAGTACAAATTGATACATTAAACTAAGGGAATAGGGGTTAGGATTATTTACTTTCAACCTATTCTTAGCTAGAATGGTTAAGAGATCACTAGTCTATGGGTTTAATAAGAGGGAATGTTTGGTTCAATTGTATAAACCTATTGAGCCTTATAGTATATTGTCTATCTATTAATATTAATAATATATGATCTAAGTTAATGTTAGTAATAGTTGGTAAGAATAAAATTTGTTAAACATATGTTTTACTTGGTTTCTATATATATTTTATATATTTTTTTTTTGTGATTCAGTAATAAATATTTGGTAATAAGTTCTTTTTTAGTGACTCAAATTTGAGTAAATTGTTTGTTATAATTCTAATTGAGATTTGTTGGTTTATATAAATGTTTTGAATTTCTTAAGCTAAATCAGTTGATATAGTTGGTTTGATTTTGTTATTTTTACAAGTTTTTGTTATTGTTTTTTTTATTATTTCTTTTATCTTTATTTGATTATATAGGTAGATAAGCATATGGACTGTGTCTTCTAATATGATAAGACAATTTGTATA